ATGAATGGTTGAATTTATATCCTGAGGCTTTAGTGAGTCATCTACCTTGTACTCAATCTGATCATTGTCCGCTTTTACTTACCTTAGAACCACCAACAATAATACATCAGAATATTTTCCTTTTTGAAACTATGTGGGCCTCACATCCACAGTTCTAACAATCATAATATTTGGTCTGAAGATCAACTACTGTTTCCTACTATTCATAAATTCCAAGTTGTAGCATCTAGGTGGAATAAACAAACGTTTGGAAATATATTCCAAGAAAAAAGGAAAATCTTAGCAAGACTGGGAGGCATACAAGTATCAGTTCATTATCCAACCAGTCTTTTCCTCCAAAATTTGGAAATAAAGCTCAATCTTGAATATAGTAATCTCCTTCGTGTGGAAGAAGAATTTTGGAAACTAAAATCTCGTATTAATTGGATAAACGATGGAGATGCTAATACTAAGTTTTTCCACATGTCCACTCTACATAAAAGACGTAGAAATAAAATAACTGCTTTAAAGGATACGGTTGGGAATTGGGTTGATGAGCCAGCCCAGTTGCATAATTTAATCCTTCAATATTATCAATCTTTGTTTAGTACTAAAGAGTTAAACAGTCCTAATTCGTATTGGAGCCCTAGCACTTGGAACCCTTCTTATACTGATATTCAAATTATCACTGCACCATTTAGCCATGATGAAATAAAAGATGCCATGTTTAGTTTTAAACCTTATAAGGCTCCGGGGCCGGATGGTTTATACCCCTACTTTTTCCAAAAATATTGGACAGCAGTTAGCAAAAAGGTTATTAGTTTTTGTGAAGATATTTTCTTGACTAACATTATCCCTGATGAATTAAATAAAACTTTAGTTTGTTTAATACCTAAAACAAAACATCGTTCTACTATACAACAATTTCGTCCCATTAGTCTTTGTAATACTTTGTATAAGCTCATTACCAAAATAATTGTTAATCGTCTTAAACCTATTGTCAATAAAATAATAGGACCTACACAAACTAGCTTTCAGCAAGGTAAAAGGGCTTCTGATAATGCCATAATTGTCCAAGAGGCCCTTAATTATCTTGCAAAAATGAAAGGTAAATCTTCATCCATGATCCTAAAATTGAATTTGGGAAAAGCATTTGATCGACTGGAATGGTCTTTCATTAAAAAAAACTCTACACTATTTTAATATTCCAGAACCAATGATCTCTTTAATTATGTCTTATATTACTACAAGTTCTATATCAATCACCATTAATGGAACCAGGACTCAATATTTTTCACCAACTAGAGGAATAAGGCAAGGGGATCCTTTATCTCCCTACTTATTTATAATGTCTATGGAAATGTTATCCCATAAGATTTTAAGAGATGTAGAATATCTCCAACGGCAACCTATTAAGATCTCCACAAATGGACCTCCACTTTCACACTTGTTCTTTGCAGATGATATTATTTTGTTCTCAAAAGTTACTGCTAAAAGCTGCCATGCCATTGTGGATGTGTTAAATGATTTCATGCATCATTCAGGACAACAAATCAATTTTGATAAATCGAAGATTTATTTCTCTAAAAATTGTAAGCAGGAAGATAAACAGTTTGTTACAGACTCCTTTAGTATTAAAGAAGGCAGCTCCTTTCGGAAATATTTAGGATTTCCAATGTTCCAAGGAATACCAAAAAAACAAGATTTTCAATTCCTGCTTGATAATTTCAAAACTAGACTTGCTGGTTGGAAAACAAAATTTCTCACACTTGCAGGAAGAGCTACGTTAATTAAATCAACCTTGAATAACTTACCTAATCATATCATGCAATATATTACCATTCCTCCGGCAATTATATCCAAAATGAATCAATACCAGCGTAATTTTCTCTGGGGCACAACTGCTACAAGGAAAAGAATTCACCTTCTAAAATGGGACACTGTTACTAAGCCAAAAGAAGCAGGGGGTTTAGGAATACAAAAACTTGACGTTAAAAATTCAGCACTCCTGGCTAATTTGGCTTGGAGAGCCTTTAAATCGCCTAACACTATGTGGGCCCAGATTCTTTTAATAAATACTTGAATAGAAAAAAGGGCTTTAAATATTCCAGAATTTGGTCTAATATATTAACAGGATGGAAGTTGTGCCAAACTGGCTTACAATGGAAAATTGGAACAGGCCAGCATATTAGCTTTTGGAATGATCCCTGGTTAAATCCTGGTACAACAATTCGTTCACTAATACAAGGGCCTCTTCCAATAATTCATACTAATATTAAAGTTTCATCTTTCCTTAATAATGCCAATTGGGATTGGAAGGTAATGCCTTTTGATTTACCTAATGATATCATACAATCAATATACAATATATTTCGCATAGTAAAAATACTCCAGACACTCCCTACTGGGGTTTAATGCAAGTAGGTGCATTTACAACAAACTCTAGCTACCATAGCTTACTGGACAAATTTACAAATTCACCTACACAACCTATTAACTTTAAATGGATATGGAAACTACCAATCTTACCTAAAATTAAAACCTCCATTTGGTTGTTATGCCATGATCGATTACCCACTAAAGCATACCTTACATATATTCGACTTATACAAAATAACTCTTGTACATACTGCCAAGATACTGAAGAAAATATTCGTCACATTTTCCTTGAATGCAAAAATGCAACTGACTTTTGGGAAGAATTAGGTCTTACCAATCTAATAAGATATATACATACCATACAAGGGACTAAGAATTGGTTATATACTTTAATTAACTCTAAAAATGTTCATCTGCCGCATAACTTAAGCTCAAACACTTTCCTTCCTGTAAGCTTGTGGAATATTTGGATAACTCGCAACAAAAACAACTTTAACTCTTTAAAGGAAAAGGTTAATGTTTCTACAACAACCTTTCAAGCTACTGAGTTGGCATATCTCACAGCTCATTTTCATAAACCTAGGAAAAAACATGCCTCTAATCTTGGATGGCATCCACCTGCGCAAAACTTCTACAAGTTAAATACGGATGGTGCTAATGGCATAAATGCAAATATAATTGGAGGAGCAATCCGTAATTCAAGGGGGGAATGGATACTGGGATTCGCACAAGCCATACAAAAGGGATCTACAGTATCAACTGAATTATATGATTTGCTCAAAGGCCTTACCTTAGCCTTACAACATCATTTGATGCCTATAGAAGTTGAGTTAGATGCTAAACAAATTATTACTTTATTGCAAACTGACAATTTTTCACATTCCAATATGATAAATGACTGCAGGTACCTCCTCAACCAGCTTAATAATCCGCCAGTCCGACATGCATACAGAGAACAAAATATGGTCGCGGATCAACTAGCAAAGGCAGCCAAACTTTTGTTCGTACGACTGATCCCTATGTCTATAATGTGGCACCTCCTTTTGTCAATCAAGCTCTGGAAGCTGATAGGAAGAACCTTTTGGATGTAAATATAAGCCAAACAATGGATGACTCTAGTAGTAGTACCCATGGAAATACTATGCTATATGCTAATGGTAGTAGTAGTATTAATGTAGTTTTGTTTATAAATAGTTTAAGCAAGTATGGCAAGACAGCCACATGTAATGGGCCACTCTCTGTATGCAGTAGCTAATATATATGAATATTATCTTTTGCACCAAAAAAAAAAAAAATAGAGAAACAACTAAAATTCAAACGTGTTAAATTTAAATTTAAATTTAAGCAGTATGCAGTACAGTTGGAGTAATATTTTTCGTTTCTTTCGACGTTCGTCCGTGTTTTTAGTCCTTGTCGCTAATCATTGTTTCATTTTTAAAATAAACCCTTTTTTAAGTCCGGCCTACGTAGAAAAATAAAAGCAGATAAACATATTCATATTTAATTTAGTAAATCCTCAAAGAATATCAAGATTCTAACAAATTGGTGTGGGTTTTATTTTAAAGGATGCTGCAAATTTCATCCATGTCCTACCACCCACCATTAGTTATACATGCATTCTAGTAAGTATTTCTGTGCTATTAGATATATATAAGCTAAATGCAGCAAGCTATTGATAATTATAGTAGTTCTATTTTTCTCAATTTTTAGTACTAATTATCAGTGTTACTTAGTAGTTGGCTCGTTGATGTATTATGGATTATGGAGCTCCTCCATTTAAACTTCCCGCCTATTTTGTTGAAACTCGAGCACATTATGAAATTCTAACATATTATACTGGAATCACTACAAGAAAACACTTACTTTGTGGGGGTTTTTTTGGTCAAATTGCGAAAATTTTTGACCCCCACAAAAAGAATTGTGGTGGTTTCTAGAAGTGCCACAGTTACCTTTGCCACAAGCATTTTGCGACGGGTTTTTAAAACCTCCACGACAACCGCCACAAAATGAATTTTTGATTTGTGGGGGTTCTCAAAGATAATTAGTGCTAGTTTAAAACCCCCGCAATATATTTCCGGTGTGTCAAAAAAATATATTGCGAGGGGTATGATCATAATGGTTCAAAAAAGATATTGTGGGGGTTTAATATCCCCCCAAAATATAATTTAAATATTTTTTTAAAAAGTTATGTGGGGGTTTTGAAAGATAATTAGTGCTAGTTTAAAATCCCCGCAATATGATTTCGATGTGTCAAAAAAAACAGATTGCGAGGGTTTATAAACCCCCTCAATATGATCATAATGGTTATTTGGGGGGGTTTATAAACCCCCAAAATATGATTTAAAATTGTTTTAAAAAAAGTTATGTGGTGGTTTATAACCGCTACAATATAATATTAGTGTTTAAAAAAAAATAGTGGCAGCTTATTTCTGCCACAACATTTTGTTGAAAACTCTTTTTCTATTTGAATTTTTTTTATTTGTAGGATTAAAGAAATAATTTTATCAAATAACTTACAACATAAATCAAATCTCATAAAAAATAACCATAGTGACAAACATTATAAATTCAAATCCTCATGAAACTAAATAAATTTTTTATCATGAGCAATGACAGATGATATGGTCACCAACCAGCTAAGATATTAAAAATGTATTCATCAAAAGATTGAGCTTTACTAATTTCATTCGAAATATAATGGAGTACTTTTTTCTAGCTAAGTCTCCGCAAACTCTGCCAAAATAACACTGTCATGCAATGGCTAAACTTTCTATGGGGAAATAACTAATTCTTGGGTAAGGATACAAAAAGAAATTGATAGGTTATTATGAAAACCTGAACTTGATTGAGAACAGTGAGTTCTCATTGTTCTTGTAACAATCAAGAATGAAATTCACCATCTTGTGACCATACTCTCTCTGTTGCTCTACATCCATGGGCTTCAGTTCACCCTACCAAACAAGAAAAACCAAATAATATACGCCTAAGGTTATGCCAACTAGCTAATGACTATTTCAAAGTCATTTATTGCTTTGGAAGAACACATTTGGGAACACTTTTAAAGCAATTAGTGTCCGCCGTCACTAGCAATACTAGAGCATATTCTCCTTACACTTGCATGACTCATGAAACAAGATCTAGTTATTCAGTCAAAAATACATCAGATTTCTTTTAATACTAGTAACCCTATAGAGATAAATTCTACAACTACAATGTAAAAATTTAACCAAGCAGACATGAAATAGCAAGATATGGATAAGTAAGAATAAACACATATACCTCGTGCCAATAGGAGCATTCTTCATCTTGTGCCAAACAAAGAGTATTCAAGCAATGTTGTGTTGCACACAATTTTACAAGGTTGCATAATTACCAAACATCAACATTTAGGTCTTAAAGAATGAACACAGGACAAAAAAATTGGACCTACAAACGTGGCGGCAAATTTCACAGATAGTGTCCCCCTTCTCATTGCACCACCTACTGTGCATAGAAACAATTCATTAAGAACAAAATATCACTAAATGATTGAGCATGCAAGCATCCAAGACACACCTTGTCTTAATTAGCAACAGTTACATTTTGGCTAATCTGATTAAATCCACGATGTTATTCCCGCTATATTTAGGACAGTGTCATGAAAAATTCGTTACACCAGAATACCTAAAATGCTTTTGCCTCACAGATGTAGCATATCTTCATTGCAAAGGTCCAATGGTTGCATAAAGCTTATTATTGGCACGACTGATGTCAAATCAAACTCTATGCAACATAAAACCCTTCATAATAATAATAATAAAATGGTGGAATGAAGTATCTCTACATAAAACAATTAAAGTTTATTCGTCATATGAAGTTTTTCTTAGAGAAATCACATATTTTCTACCATTGGTTATATAATGAACTTTACATCTACATGTTCCCATTGTAAATCTTTCACCTGTTTGTCAATGGAAGATATGCATTTCTAAGAACTTAATGAACCAGTAGAGTGGATTGTACATTATAGTTGTCATCTGCTTTAAAGTATAACAATAAGAGCCAAGACTTTGAATCAAAGTAAGTTTCTCAAAAACACTGCTAAGTGCTCTTATGTGTCTAAATATCCCAAGATCCTTGTTTGATCCGGTGCTTCCTAAGGGAGGACGAAAGATTACTTCTTACTTATTTGTAGCAAGGGACAATAATACTTTTTTTCTCTTAATATTTAGGGTAATACTTTAATCAATTTAAGGAACAATATAGTATCCAGAATAAGCTAATTACCTTTACGAGAGGATGCTCTATTGGTCGTAGCTCTGGATGATGGGTACTTGCTCTTCTTACTAGCTAGTTCCTACAACTTTTATTTACACAACGAAAATAGAACCATTATGAACTAACATCAGGAAGAGTCCTCTAAATGCCTGCTAGCCTAAATATTGCCTTCATCAGCATCTAGAAATAGGAAGAAAGAATACTAATCATCAAATTCTGTAGAGAATAAAACCTTACCATGAAAAACACCAGCAAAACCATCTGCTTTTTCAATCATCTCATCAACAGGCAAAGTTGCAATAGACTCATCCTTATCCTGGCCTAGTAAAGAAGCAGCAGGATACATATTATTTCCCATTCCTAAACAGCGTCCTGTCTCCTTTCCAATCTCTAGTTGATCACCTGATGTGAGGAGGGGGGTTACTCGAACATATTAGACCAAAATAACATTATAAAGATAGTTATTGAAATAAATTGAAAAGTTCATCCCGTTCAACATACTTAATGTCCCAAAAGATTCCAACAGATCTCTATATTACAAATGTTAAGATGAGAACATGGCTGCCACCACCCACTCCAAATAAAGTATAGAAGTCCAATCTTGACCCCAAGCAGATTTCTGACATCTTTTTCGCATCCGCTTTCAGGTTTAACATGACATTAGCGCTCTCGTACTTAAAGACTAATTTGGTGTGCATGGTAAAAGAAGCTAAAAGACAGCCTGAATATAGCAGCAGGTAAGGAAGAGCTGAAAAATAAACCTATATGGTTGCCAACTTTCTTATTCATTGTTTAATTGCTTTGTACTCCAAAACCATCTACTATTAGTTATCAGTGTACTGCAATCATAACATTGTTCATCTAACTAAAGAAACAACTGAAGCTGTATATCAGATTTATTGTGCGCAAGGTTCAAAATCTAGAAACCAAGACATTAGCATTAGCAATGCAAACTATCAAGATATGAAATCAGAAGCAGTTTACCCTTTACCTGTTCAGGGGCACCTTTACTGACTCGATGCATTTTGCCTTCACTGGCAAGATTTGTTAGAGCTGTGCACTTATCAGTTGGATTGAACAGAAGAAAATGAACCTCTTGAATTCCAGCTCTCGCCTTTTAAGTACATAAATTATAAGGATGCTACTTATAACAAACAGCTAAAAAATTCTATGTTGTGAGCACTAACAAAGAAGCCGTCAGCTGATTACCTCTTTCGGATCAGCCAACATCCCCGCAATGGCAGCATCAATTGCATCTTCGTTTTCCACCCGTGAAGCTCTAGCAGCCATTAGAACCACAGTATCAACATCCACTCCTTTTGCAAACACCTACACTTGAAAAATGCTTCATTGAAACTTCAGAGGTATATATTTTAGTAACATGATGCCAAGGGGAAGAAAGTTATCGACCTCCTACATGCCAAGTGGATTAGCCTATCTTATCAAAAAGGTTTTTCATGCTATACAAGATCAACCTCCTACATGACGTACTTACCATTCTCTTTTTCGATTACAAAGAGCAATACATAAACCGTGACTGTTAATTTCTTATTAGCCAACATTAATTAGGCGATTCCATCAAACATACTACAAAAACTCATTATGCTTATTCTAGTTTCGTTGTTCTAATTTCATTTGATTCATTGGCTTCTCAAGAAAATTCTGGGAACTAGTTTTCACAAATTTTTGACCCAATGTTTTCTTAATTTTGCATACAATCCACCATCAATAAAATGAAAGCAAATAATGACAAAATATCCAAAATCCTCAAATTATTATACCAACAAATCAGAAAAAATAACCAGTGTAAGAAATAAGACAGAGTTGCAGAATACCCATCACATAAAGAGCACAAAATAAAAAAAAATAAAAAAAAATAAAAAAAAAAGAGGAAACTGAAACAAAAGTGAAAACATAAATACTGGAAATTACCAACTATTATATCATCAAATCAATGTGTACATCGAGACAGAAATGCATAAATTCTAGAGTATTTGAAGTAACCTACAACTTTTACGGAAAAATAAAAAGTAGTAGAAACCCCAGTAACACCTAGGCCAATACACCATCAAATAATCCACTGCACATGTGACGAACAAAAATGCAAAATTTCTATTACACAAAAGATGAAAATTTTGAAGAGTTCCTCACCTTTGACTAATTAGGTTTTGGACGGCGAGGAGCGTAGATCGCATCCGTATAGATTTCATACACCTTGTTGGTAGAAGTGAATTGCACATTGGGTACTAAAACTGCAGAAGATTGTATATGACGATGCGGCTGAAGGAGGTAGAGAGAGTGCCTTACCCTGATTTTTGGCTTTCTTTTGATATGTAGGGAAAGGGTTTTCGTTCTTCTCTAATCTCTCTAAATTAAAACTTTTATTTTGGCAAAAAACTTAGAGGGAAAAGTTTGGAGGGAAACATATCTAAATCGCGTTTACCCTCCTAAAAATTAGTAAAGAAAAACTAGGTAATTAAAAATTGTCTTAAATATTAGTTATATTGTTTTTTTCAATTTAATACATCTAATTATATATTATTTGATTAAAACTATAACTTATCAACATAATAAGATATAATTATGCAATAATTAAAATTATAATTGAAAATATAACAACAACACCCACTAAAATTTCACTAGTGGGATGTATAAACAATACTTATATGATAGTTTAAATTATAATACACAGTCAGACTTCTCTATGATCGTTATTCTATACAATAACATGCCAATATAGCAAGCAAGTTTTTTTTGAAAATAATTTTTAATGTTATAAACAATTTTTAATGTTTTTTTTTTTTTAAATAATTTTTAATCGTTAATAGATTTTTTGAATGATGTTATGGGATGTGTTGGCATGTTTGGTTGAGGTCCCGAGGGCCTCGGGTGAGTTTTCGGGTGTTAACGGACCAATTCTTGATTTTGGAAGTTGGCAGATTTTCTGGTACTTTGTTGCAGAGGAATCCTTCTTCGCCTTCGCGAAGGGTTAATGAGAGGGGCAGCCTAGTTGTGCTTCGCGTTCGCGATGTAGGTCCCGCATTCGCGAAGGTGTGGGAGTTCAAGGCTACGCGTTCGCGACCTGGGCCTCGCGTTCGCGTAGAGTCTACGGTCATGTGGAGTTCAGGCAATTAAGCCTACGCGTTCGCGATGGGTTTTCCGCGTCCGCGTAGGGTGAGCTGGATGATCTTCGCATTGGCGAGTGGTCCAGCGCGTTCGCGAAGAAGGGAATTTGGTCTGAGGAAGCTTGTGCTTTGCGAACGTGAGGGAGCTGCCGCGTTCGCAAAGAAGAAAACACATGGGCAGAAACTTTAAGTTCAAAATCGAGGGTTTTAGTCCATAACTTCGAATTTCATTAGAGAGCTCGGGAGAAGGCGATTTTGGAGGGAATTTTCAGAGGATTGATTGGGGTAAGTATTCTTCACTCAAATTTGGTTAAATACCATGATTAAGTCTTGATTTTTATCATTTAATTTGGGAATTTGGGGTGAAAATTGGGGAAAATTGAAGAAAATTTGGAGAGTTGATTTTGAGGATTTGGATGGTCATTTGATGTCGTATTTTGGTGAATTTGATATGGGTAGACTCATGAGCGAATGGAATTTCTAGTTTTGTAATTTTTATCGGATTCCGAGACGTGGGGCCGGGGGCCGGGTTTGAGCAAATTCGGGATTTTTGGTCTAAATTGATAATTTTCGTGTGGGTTTCATTCCTTTAGCGTATATTGATGATAATATACTAATTTTGGTCAGAGACGAAGCATTTGGAGGTTGAATCGAGAGGCAAGGGCATCGCGGGCTAGAGTTTTGGCTTGGTTAAGTAACGCTTCCAAACTTGGTTGTGAAGGTTCGAAACCCCAAACTATGTGTTCTATGATTATTATTGAGGTGACGCAAATGTCGTTGGCTTGTTATAGCTCTTGGGCAACGAGCCCCTCCGGAGTCTGCACACCCCCAGTGAGCACAGATGATATTATTGAGGGATGGGTCTTGTCCGAAGTACTTATTATCTGGAGATGGATCTTTTCCATAGGCTGGAATGGCCTTCCTCGATACTGGATGACTGTTGTCAGTGATGTGTATATATTCCGGGATGGATCTTCCCTGGGCCTCGTGAGCCATATACAGTACCGAGTGGTTGTGAGGTTGTTATTGTTATTATATGGAGATGGATCTTCTTCATAGGCTGGAATGGCCTTTCTCAGTACTGAGTGACTGCTGTCAGAGATATATATATTCCGGGATGGATCTTCCCTGGGCCGTATGAGCCATATATAGTACTGAGTGGACGAGCATTTGAGATTGTGGGCACATGAGGCACTCAACATGGCGCATTTCATACAGCATGTGCATTGGCATGTAGACGTAACAGAGTTACACATCCTTACCCTGTATATACCTGCTCTGTTTTACTGTTCGAGCTATTTATTTTACTGAAAGCATGCCTACGTTTCTGTACACTATTTCTGTTACCTTTGATGAGTCTGAGTTCGTCACTACCTACCGGTTCAAAGGTTGGATTTGTTAATTACTGAGTTGGTGTACTCACGTTACCCCATGCACCTCGTGTGCAGATTCGGGCACTTTGAATCCAGTGGCAGTGGTTGATCGAGGCTTCTGACTTAGGAGATTATTGAAGTATTTGCACGGCGTTCGCAGGCCTTGGCTCTCCACCTTACCTTCTAGTTGTATTTCAGTTGTTCCCTTAGACATTATAATAGACTATGTAATTTTCTTAGACGCTCATGCACTCAGTGATACCCCGCTTTTGGGCTGGATTGTATTTATTCTTGGAAATTTCTTATGTTTCAAATAATTTTTTAACTGTTAAAAGCTTCCATAAATGTTTTCAAACTTATTATTATCGTGTTGATTGTTGAGTTGAGGCTGGCCTAGTTTCGCGATAGGCGCCATCACGACGGGTCGGATTTTGGGTCGTGACATAATATTAGCTATTAAACTAATCATTACCATATTTTTTTAGAACTTGAAGCAAAAGTATTATTTAGTAACATTTTATTTCAAATAATTTGTTACAGTAAGTTTTGCTACAGTAAGTTTCATCTCGGGGCAGAAACTAATGATTAGCCACGAAATTCCATCTTAACAATAAATCTGTGGCTAATTTAACTTATATTGCCACAACCCTTCTTAACTCGAGGCAAAAATATTCATTTAGCTACGGCATTTTATTTTAGATAATTTATTATGGTTAAAAGGTTACTATTGTTATAATAAGTTTCAATTCGTAGCAAAAAACTAATGATTAGCTACGAAATTTCACCATAGCAATAAATTCGTGGCTATATCATTTAACTACTGCAACAAATTTCTTTAACTTGTAGCAAAAAATATTCATTTGGCTACAACATTTTGTTTCAAATTATTTATTGTAGCTAAAAGGTTACTATTACTACAATAACTTTTGACGTGTGGCAAAAACTTATAATTAGCTATGAAATTTTATTGTGGAAATGAATTTATAGCTATTTAAGTAGTTTTTGCCATGAATGTTAGCAATTATAGCAAATATGAGGAATTAGCTTTGCCAATTTAATATTCGTAGCTAGGAAATTTTACGATTTTGGAAATAGCCATAGTATTTTAATTTCTGTGGTTATTGCTAGATATTAGCCACGACTTTTAAATTCATAGCTAAGATTCCGTAGCTATAAATGCATAATATTGTAGTGTCACTTGTGACGGTGAGACTAGCTTGAATCATCGTTCATTCCTTGCTTTTGTTGAGCCACNTCATTTGTCATTATTACTTTTGTTTACCTAACTAGTCGTGGTCCGAACGACCGGTCCGATATTCTTTTTTGTTCACCTAAAGGTTCACGATACTCACGTGGTTAGAAATTATGTTTAGTATTTATGGGTCGACATTTCGTATAATCTATAAATAAAAAACCTATGAGGAAGAAATAAAATAGATGTCTATTTATTTTTTGCTAAAGATAAAGAGACGAATTATAGAAATGTACAAAACAATAAATGAAAAACTAGCGAGTAAGACATAGAGAGATCATGGAAGACCTCATATCTTCTTTTTGCGGTTGAAGAAAGTGAGAAGAAAAAGATTACAAACTAGAAGATATAGATATTGATGTAAATTGCATTAATTCGCAGTTGTTTTAACTAAAATACGTAATTTGATTAAATTTTAAAGAAATAAGGTAGAAAAAATAACTAAAAATTTGCATGCGTCAAATTATTAATTTGTATCGAATTGCAGCAATTTCTCAAACAGTTGAAATTGATATATTTGTGGAGGTTATCAAAAACCTTCACAAAAAAACTGCCATAATAAGAAAAAATTTGAGGAGGTTGGAACAAACGCCACGAATTAAATATATAGTAGGAGTCTTTTATAACCCCCACATTTAAACCGCCACAATAAGAACTATTTTGTGGGGTGGGGGTTGGCTCAAACGCCACAAAACAAATGTATAGTGGGAGTTTTTTATGACCCCCATAAATAAACCGCCACAATTTGACAAACTTTTTGTAGTGAATCTCATATTAAATATTCGAACTCCAGCATATTATGCTGGAATTTTTTGAGATTTGTAAGGGCGTTTGCACGCCGCAGTGGTTTCTATATGATACCTATTGAGTGTGAGCGTTGATTGGTAAGAGTTGAGTCACGAGTGACTGAGAGGCTTGCCCGAGGAGCTATATATATATATATATATTTACATGTACATGAGTGTTGTTGGCCTGAGGGGCTAGTTTATGAACTTACTGTTTTCACTCCTCTTTAAAGCAAGTTTCCATTGAACATGGTGATTTAATTACTGTTTTCACTCATCTTTAGACCGAGCCTCGATTGAAAATGTTGAACAGATGTTTTAAATAATCGTTCATTTAAACTGAAGTTTTTAAGTTACGAAAAGGATTGTGAATTTTCTGTTATGCCGAGGGGTCGGTTATGGTTTTCATCCCTTTTATTATAAATGGTACTGAACCCCTACTGAAACGGTTGGATAGCATTTTTTTCAAATGATTTTTACCCAAAAACTAGATTTTAAATGAGACGATTGACTCGTATTATGATGTGGAAGCCTGTTGTGCTTATTGAGTTTACCACAAATGTGGATTCATCATTTTCATACTGCTCAGTCTTTATTTACTCTTATTACTTGCTGGGTTGGAGTACTCACATTACTCCCTGCACCTCGTGTGCAGATTCAGGTATTTCAGAACCCGATAACGGGTGTGGATTGCTCAGACGCGGAGTCATCCGAGTTAGCAAGGTGGCTGCACGACGTTCCCAGCACTGCTTCCTTCCTCTCATTTCTATTACTGTACTTAGTACATTTTGACTGTTTTTGTTGTATTCAGACCTTGGTAGATGCTCATGGCTAGTGACACCCCGATGTCGGGTTCG